CCCAGCCTCTGCTGCACGGCTCCCCAGGGCCAGTACGTCTGTCTATGGGCCTTGTCTCAGCAAGTGTCCAGGCACAGGGGCTGCCCGGCTCTGACCTGCCTCTCTAGGGCGCCTGACTGTGGCCACAGTACGAGGAGCCTCATAGTCTGCGTCCTTCCTCAAGTCCAAGGTGCTCACCCACACCACACAAACCAGGGAGCAGCACGCCCCGATAGTCTCAGGCTGGGCTCTGGCCCAGTGGGCCCAGCCTTGCCCGAATCCCACTCCTGGCCTCCTCAGGGTCCATCCTCCCGTCTGGTCTTCAGCCATCACGCACAGCCACACCCTGCCTGGGCAGCCTCAGCCCCCTCAGCCACGCTGCGGGCTCCCTTCATCTCAGTGAGGTCAGATCGCCCTGTTTCAGCACCCCCCCTCATCACCTTGATCTTGGGAACGCCTCTGTCGGCTCCCTGTGCAGGCAGTCCTGGAGTCCCCGGCCGGCGTCCTTGGAGCAGATGAGGATGGCAGCTGCACTTCCTTCCCCAGCTGCGGTCAAGCACGGTGCTGGGCCCTCCCCCACCCCATGCCCTCCAGCCCCGGCCGCCCCAGGCAGAAAGCCTCCTGAGCCCTGTTACAGTGAAAGGGAAGCCAAGGCTCACATGGGGAAGGGCTGGCCCTGGCACTGCCATGTGGCTCTAAAGTAGATGACAGGGACCCTAATGTGACTGTCAGCCTGGGACCTTCCTGCCGTCGGACCTGCCTCCCTAATCATCGGATTTCTCCATCTAACACTCTCCATTGCACGGAAGTTCAAGGAGAACAATTGGAAGACATCACAAGGACCTTTCCCTTTGACGTTTTGGAAGAGCCAGGGGACATCCTGGCCTCAGTGGCTCATTAGAGGCTCACCTGTGACAGATACTTCTCTATTTCCGGGAATGACCAAGACCTTGTAGACTTGAGACTCATGCTGAACCTGAAGGCCAAGTGCTCCCCGCTGCTCCCACATCTGCACAGAGCGTGCGGTACAGCCACCCGTTCCCACGTGTGTCCCTTCCATCACGTCTCGGCTGGGATCTTTCTGGAGCGCCCAGGGGGCGGTTCGCTCCTGACTGCTGGGAGCTCAGAGCCTTCAAGGCTCTGGGTCTGTCCGGAGACACACAGCGGACTCGGACAAGAACAAAGCCTGGGGTTCCAGGGAAACCGTCCCCCCAGTCACCTTTTAAAAAAGTGCTGAAGAAAGACAGCACAACCAGATGCGAGTTGTGGCTGCACTTCACACGGGAGCTTAACATTTCTCCCTGTTCACCAGATCGAGTCATATACATCTAGCTTAGAAAATTCAATGAGAAACTGTTTTGCATCTAGAGAAGCCGCATCTAAGCCGTCTGCATCACTGAAATGCATTTCCATGTCATGTGGCTACCGGAACACAGACATGTTGAAGGGGAGAACCAAAGTGTGGAACTCCACCCCTTCCTTCGTGAGACCACAGCACGTGCTGGCCCAGCGCTGGGCTTGGGTTGTTCCAGCGCTCTCACTGAGTCTGGCTGTGCCTTTGAACCTGAATCGAGCTGCCCGGGCCTCGGAACCCGGGGTCTCCCTTCTCACCTTGGCTCATTCTCACCGCCTGCCACCTATCATCCCATCGACACCTTCGCTCTGCTCTGTTCAGGTCCTGGGGACATAAGTCACAGTGTCACTTCTTCCAGATCTAGCCTTTCCTGGCTTTGTCTGTGGGGCCACTTCGCCTGGTCCTTCCAGGCTTCAGTTGGGACCCTGTCTCAGTTTCTACCTCTGCTGTACTCATTCATGTGACACTTCTGTCCCCTCCCCTCAAAGACCGGGCTCCTCCAGGTGAGGAAGGCAGCCCCTGCATCCCAGGGACATGTCCCAGGACCAGCAAAATGTTCTCAAGTCAACAACTCCCCTGTGCCCAGCAGCCACCTCATCCAGCTAATGGTTGTTATGAGCCGGCACCGTCCGACCACTCCGTGCCCGAGTCTTGCGGCCGACCACCAACCTGTCATCCCCATGCACAGTGGCAGAGCCTGAAGAACAACGGTTAAATCGCTTGTCCAAATCCGCCCAGCGGGGAAGTGTCTGGAGAAGGAGTTGAACCTGGAAAGCCCGGAGTTGGCGGCATCCCCACATCTGCATTCTGCTGCTCTAGGTACAGGAAGCTTTCTCTATTTTCATGTTAGACACAGTGGACAAGCCCCGTTAAATCATTTGTCCCAATGAGACCACTCAACTGATGAGTGTCGGACATCATTCGATCCCGAGTGTGTCTGGACTCTTTCTGGCTCTTCATCAATATGTCATATCTCACTGTCTAATTATATGTCTCATATATATTCATATATATGTGTGTTTCTTTCCTTTAACTCAGAAACGCATGCAGGAAGTACAGCATTAGTCTGGATGCCTGCCTGCAAATGTGAGTGGGCGCTTCCCCCCACTGCTCTGCATACAGAGGGAGCCCACGGAGGGGCAGAGTAGGGTTCCCTTCCCCTCCAAGCCGGACTGGCCTTGCCAGTGACCTTGACCAATGGAATGTGGGGGAATGGCCCCGTGCCAGTCCCCAGCCTATGCCCAAAGAGACCTGCAGTCTTTTTCTCTTTCCTTCCTGGTAAACTGAGCTACCATGTAAGAAGTCAGACCACCCAACGGAATGAAAGCCCAGCGTTCCCTCAAGTGCTCCAGCCACTGAACATGGGATCAAACCTGTGAATGAACATGTCTCAGATGCCCCCCATTGACGGAGCCCACAGCAGAACGTGGCACATGAGTGCCCAGCCAAGCCCCCGAGTCAAACCATATGATCTCACTCATCTGTGGAATCTAATGAACACACTGAACTGACAAGGAAAATGGGGACAGGCTCATTGACGGAGAGCAGGGTGACAGCTAGTGGGGGGCGGGGGGTGGAGGGATCGAGCTAAAGGAAAAAGGACTCATGGATACGGACAACAGGGTGGTGATTGCTGGGGAGGGTGACATAAGGGGACTAAATGGTAATGGAAAAATACGATAAAGATCAAATTAAAAAACAAAGAGAATCAACCCATGCTTTAAGCCACTAAGGTTTGGAGGCCCGCATAACGCGGCAACGTCTAACTGAAAAGAGCGCGGTCGGAAAGCGCACTGTGCGGAGGCCACCAGGAAAGCTGCCCAGTCCCGAGCCAGGGGCGAGCCTCGCTGCAGCTGTCTGTTGCTGGCCTGCACCAGCCTTCTGTTCTAAATACTGTGCTCATGTGAGACTCAAGGGCACTGAACACCTCCTAATTATCCCGTGTCGAACTAGACCAAGGAAGAAAATAGCTTCTGACCTGGGACTGCGTTTCATTTTTCTTTCTTTCTCTCCATATGGCCCTGTCTTCGCCCTTCTTTCCCAGGCTGCCCATTGGGCTCTGCCCACTGCTGGGAGACCCCCAAACCCCTGGTCCTCATAGCAGGGGCCCCTCAGCTCCCAGGGAGGCTCGGCCACTGCTGCTCTACCAAGTCACAGAAGACCTGGAGTGCTCGTCAGCCGGGAAAGGCTTCCATCAGATCAGTGGGGCATTAGTCCCACCTGACTTCCAGGTGTCACCCTGAGTTGGCGCCCTGTCCTGGAGCACAGAGCCCGCCAGCCTCATGGCCCTGGTCCTGGGACCACCCATGGGTCAGACCAATGGGACGCTTACCGTGGTCAGTTCCTGCCCTGGCTCCTCTGCCCTGAGAAACTCTGTGGAACGTAAAACACACTCTCATTTATACGCTAAGACAGGAATCCTGCAGAGGACGGATTGTTAGCCACTTTTCAGGTGAGGAAAGGCAACTCAAAATTGCCACAGCCCAAGGTCATACAACTAGTTCATACGATGTCAGGGTCCACACCTCCTGCTCTTAGTCAGGTTCACAGACTTTCTTCTGGCAGAAACTGGGGTGGGCGGAGCTATAGCACAGGCAACAGCAGAGCTGGGGGTGACCACCATCTCCGGTGGCTGGTTTCCTCCCCAAAGAGAGGAAAGGTGTGGAAGAGAAGATGTAAGGGGCCCGCTCCACCCTCCCCACACGCACGCCTCCTCCAAGGAGGAGCGGAGCAGACCAGGGCGTCTACAGTCCTACTTGGTGGGAACTCAAGTAAATGCAGGCAATTTTGCACACCCTACCACAACTCCCACAGTGGATGGTCTAACAGCCAAGCCAATCACAAAAGAACTTTCTGGGTGGTGGCCATAACCAGAACTTTTATCTCTACTAGACTTAATTTGCATAATATTCTTGCCCAGTCTCACTTGTCCAGTTAAAGCTAAACAATGATTCTCCGTAGCTTCGTGTTTTTATCTCCTTGCTTTCTCTCTCCTCTGTCCCGAAATTTGTCTCCTTCTCCCTGAGGTCTGGTCGAGCTGCACGTCCTCCCGAATTCACTAACGGAAGTCTGTCTACCAGGCCATCCTCTCACTGCCCAAATCTCACCGCTGATGGAACGAGGCTTCTGTTTCTGATCAAAACTCTCTCACACCGAATACCTGCTGGGAGCCCTGGACACCCCTGGACACCAGCTGCCCCCAGTTCGAACGTGGGTTGTGTTTGGCAGTTGTGCCCCGAGCCCAGAGTGTAGCTTCTGACTCCCGCCAACTGCCTGCTGATTCGGCCCCTGTACCTGGCTGAGCACCCAATTCTCTTTGACAACAGGCTTCCTCTTACCTCTTACCTCTTACCTCTTACCCCTGCGCTGCCGGGTGCCAGTTCCGCCTTCTTCCTCCCTGGTGTGACTTGAGCGAACACTCCCCATGGCCAGCTTTATGCCCAGACCCCCCGGGACAGCATTTCCTCTAGTCGGCGTCCCTTGCAACAATGCACCCGCAGTGGCCATACCAATAGCGGGTCTCCATTTCTAAACTCACTCACGCGGCTTCCGGCAGGGCCTCGCTGCGTGTCTCCACGCACCCCGCACTGTGCTGAGCCCTGGCACACGGCCATCAGTGCAGGTTCACTGCCAGCAGCAAGCGCCCCACCGCCATCGTCCTGCTCACCTGTCTGTCCAACGATGGACGCGCTCAGTCTGTGGGCGATCCTGGAGGGCACCTTCAAGGTCACTCGGATCTGGTAATACCTAAGGAAAGAGCAGAGGACAGGCTGCTGAAGCTCACACTTCTTTTTGTTGGCTTCTTCTGAAATCACCGAGTCTTAACCCTTAAGGTCACAGGGAATCGTGGATGTTTCTACGCAGCGGGCGTGAACGTGTGCCATTGAGGGGGCTCGGTCCATTGGCATGAGCGGTGGACCAACCCAGAGATGAGAAGCTGGGTGCACCTGAGATCACAGGAGGCACACACAGGCACAGGGGAGCAGGAGAGGGGACAGACAGGTCGCACAGCGCAGGCACACGAAAGGGAGGGGTCTCTCTTTAGTCAGAGACGTGCACTGTGCTTGCGTGGAGCTTTGGTGTGTGGAGGAGCACACGTGGAGATGGAGTCGCTATTTCTTGCACCACAGAGAAGCACTTGCTTTAGAAACCCAGCAGCTGAGCTGCAAATTCTGGGTCACAGCCACACGCCGGGCCAGTGCGTTCCTCTGGCCTGTTTTCAGTCTGTCAGTCCCATCCCCAGCTTCCATGCTCTTGTGACACCGCGCGGGCTCCCGAGACATCAGGACACCCTGGGAGGCACCCTCTGCCCACACGTGCGGGTGCATCTCCCAGAGTTCTGCGCCTCACGGCGAATGGCCTTTTCCCTCGCATGTGACCGGGCACATCTCTCCCGTCATAACTATTCTCCCCTTTCACTGATTATGAAATAGCATGTGAGTAAGTAAGACAGAGTGCAATGGGAGGAAAAGGGACCATAGACGTGCTGGTTACTCATGGCCCACTGAGCTCACGGCCGGGGGCTCTTTCGCTGTCCATGTCCTCACACTGGGAACATACGTGTGGAGTGTTACTGTTGACATGCCCGTGGTAAACTGAGGGAATGTAGGGCAAAGGGCCCTGGCACTGGATTCTTGTAGCTTGGGCCACATCATTCGAGGGCCGTGTGACTTTGAATACATCACACGACTGCTCTGAATTTGTTTTTGTTTCTGTAACATGGAAAGGTTTGTAAAATGGTAACTGTCCTGATGTCTGCTTCCAAGGAAAACTGTGTAGACACACGGTTTCCTCAGCCTTCTCACTAAGCTCAGCTAGAAACTCTGGCAGCGTGGACACACCCAGCAGAAGAAGCTTCTCCGAGGTGGAAGAGAACGCAAACAGTCCAGGGACTCCCGGGTCCGAGGGACCACATGGTGAGGCACCATGATGAGTCGTGGTGAGTTGTTGCATGTTCTTTCTGCCTCATCTATTCCAAGAGAAGCCAACAACCCAGAAATGCTAGCAGCTGAAGACAAAATAAATAAATAAAAAATAAATGATAAAAAACACAACCAACAGGACCCTGCTTTCTCTAGAGAAAGGACCTGAAAAGGGTCAGCCCAGCACAACAATCTTTAGACAGCGGTAGCTCCACACTGCCGTCAGCAGCACCAAAGACCATGTAAAAGCCGAGAAGTCCTCTGTGGCCGGTTCCCCCACCTGGCGAGACGGGGCCCGAGCAGGGAGGCAGTTCTCACCACTGATGAGAGTGACGAAACCCCACCTGTCCTGATGCGAGTGGGGACCACGTGGGCAGCCAGGATCTCTGCCCCCACCCGGCAGCCACAAGAGCACAAGTCTACCCATGGGATTTTGACGAGGGTTGAGAGGCAGTTCAATGAAGGGAAGTGGCCTCTTCAATAAATGGTCCCGGAGGAACCGGACATCCATGGGCCAAACCAAAACCCAAACGAGACACTTAACTGAAATCTGACACTTGGTACAAAAAATGACTCAAAGAAGATCACAGACTTAGAGGCAAAAGGCAAAACTATGAAACTTTTAAGAAAAAAGTAGAAGACAGCTTTGGAATCTAGAGCTAAGCAAAGAGTTCTTAAACTTGACGTTAAAGCATGATGCGTAAATTTAAAAATTGATAAATTCAACATCATCAATATTAAAAACTTGTCTTCTGCCAGATGCTCTGTGAAGACGATGAAAAGACAAACCACAGAGCAAGAAAAACTATTTGCAAATCCCATGCAGCTGATGCTCCCCAAGGATCCTGTGTTTGTGAATCTTCCTACTCGCTCCATTCGGGTATGAGCTACGGTGTGACTGACCGGCCCTGAGTTCAATGTCAGTGAACCGAGTACAATGTAGAAACCCACCTAAACAGAAACACGCCTGAAACAAGGTCGGGTATGGGCCAGCTGACCAAAGGGCTGTGGTGGAGGCTCCCAGGATTCTGCCGTCCCCTGGGAGCAAAGGCTCAGTGCACAGTTAGGACCGCGAGACCACGAGACCCACGGGGAAGCCCCACAGCCATCAACTGTGAGCGCCCTTGCCTGGGTGAGGGAGACTGAGGCAGAGCAGGTTCCTGCCCTGACCACCAGGGGGCAGCCACTTCGTAAAAGTAGCCCAGTAGTACCACTGGGCAGCTACGTGGGCAGTGCATTGCAGGACACTTCAGTATTTCAGGGAAAGACAGAAATTTGTATTTTCACAAAACAACTTTAAAACTGTAAATGGCGGCCCCTAAATCAATGACAATGGCGAGTGTGGTAACAGCCACCGCACGCAGAATTAGCAGCAGCGACCTGGCCCCTCTGTTTACAGAACAAATGTGCATGCAGGCCGAACTCCAGCAGGCCAATAACTGCCAGACTCTGATTTGTGCAAATGCAAAGTGACCCTGGCAGGACTTCTTTAATAAAAGACCTACTCGTTTCAAAAATTCTGTCACTGCAGGAAGAGACACAAATCCCACAACCCCCCACCACTCTCCCCAGCTGTAATGTTCCAACGGCTTCTTCGCTGGACATAAAGTGGGTCAATCGTTGCCAGAAGCTGAGCACCCCTTTCCGATCAGACTGTGCTGGGAGCAGCTACAGTCATGCTCAAGGTTTATTAAGTGTCCCTGCGCCAGCACCTGCTTCAGCAGGACTTCCGCGTATTCAGTTTTGTATGGTCCTCCATAAATTCTCTGTGAAAGAAAACATCCTCGCAAGTGCCGACCAAATAAAAACATCAGGTCACTGCTGACGCCAGACCACTTATCCAAAACAGAGAGGCCAGCAAAGGGCAGACACGACTCTAAGTCTAGAGGTACAGTTTCTTCTACACCTTTCTGGAGTCGCAGTTGGTTGTATAACTCAAAACCCTCTTATAAATAATTCCAAAGCACTGTCTGAATTGTTATTCCTTACAAACACTGATGCCACCCAATGGCGCTTCAAGCGTTTAGTCATCATTTTGAACTTCAGATGTTTTATAAGAACGCGTTGAAAAGAAATAAGCTGCAGTTAGACCCACCCGCTTGGCTCTGTCCTGATTAAACAGGACGCTTAAGGCCCCTGAGGTACCTTCTCTTGTCTGACATGGACCTTCTGCCGGGTCACAAATCCACACACCAGCTCACTCATGACATATGCCATAGTGTTTAATTCTTTCAGGAAATCTTTGATGCCATAATTTCCTTTTTGAAGATGAGAACACTGACCTCCAGACATGGAGAAATTTGTAAATACTCAGTACATATTCATTAAATAACATTTAGAAGCAAATCTCCAAAATGAGCTTATTATTTCATTACGAACACCCTTTAACTACACGTAGAGCCACCTCCCCCCAGCCAGGGCCCCTAGAAACACGCTGTGCAGGAAGGAGCCTTGAAGCTCCTCTCATCCTCAGGGAAGGAGCCGTGGGAGGAGAAGATGGGGGAGCGAGTTCGGGTCAGAGAGAGCAGAGATGCGAAGCGCAGGGGGTGGGCGACTTCAGACAACAAGCTGGAAAGGCTGAGTCATCTGGTCTGCACAGGGCTCCTCAGGGGAATAAAAAGAAAGAGTCGTCCCTCGCTGACGTCCCTCGGTAAGAACGACATGACGTGCGCCCTTTCGTGGCGTGGTCAGCAGGGCAGTTGTCTCTTCTATGACGCTTATGTCCCCGCCTTTGGCACTGGGAGAAGTTTGGGTATTCAAAATAATCATAGAAGAAGACCCAGGAAATGACCAGTAATTTCTACTACACACTCGGACTGATTCATCTGTTCTGACAGTCTCCACCCACCACAACCAGACTGCAAAACATTCTGTTCAGGTTTACTGGCCCCCACAGCAAATCAGATTTTTTTTTTTCAAGAGAAGGGGACTCCAAGAGCTTGGTGAAATTTGTGTGGATATTGCGATGTGGTCAAAACACAATGATCCTAGCGATTCATTTAGATGCTGCCGATATTCACAGCGATGACCCTCCTCCTCTCCTTGCTGATCTGGAAGAGTCTGCGTGGCTCGCACTGTCAGCTGTCAGCTCCAAATCCGTAATCCCCCACCCCTCCTCACAAAGAAGGACGACTCTGCCAAGTATTCTTGTCCCCACACCGGCAGAACTGCAAGTGAGTGGATCGTAGCCACGCAGTGACCCATTTCCCAGAGTCGTACTGTTGCAAGCGGTGCTTCCCCACCATGCAGCGGCGTGTCCTCAGTCCACGCATTGTTCTCCGGAATGCTTCGTGTTCCTTGGCTTCAAGTTGCTAGCCTAAACTTGGCCATGCTGGGAGGGTTCCCATCATGAAGATCAACAATGCTACAACTCTTCCTGTGTAAGCCAGTCTCACACACCGAGCAGCACCCTCTGTCCTCATGACCAGCGTCACCCGGTTCTTTTAACCAAAAGAAACATGAAACCTGAACAGGGTCAATGATTGGGTGATTTGGAGTAATTCTAAGGGAGTCACTGCTGGGTGCGACTCACGCTGGCAAGCGTTCTGGAAACATCTATTTTATTTTTGGAGACACCTCATCAAGTAAAACCACACTAATGGGGCTCCAGGGACAATCCTCCCCTGACTCGATGGGAGGAAGGACCTTTCCACGGTGCGTGCCCTTTTCACACAGACTGGGAGGTTTACACAAAGCGTCCACAACCTTACCACATTGTCCCCTCTTCCAAAACCCAAAACGAAACTCCAGCAGCAGTGACAATGACAATGATACCGTGTGGTGACTTAAGACTATTTAAACCTCTCTGAACTCCCGTCTTCTCCT